ACGATTGTTGCTTTAGTAACGTCATCCGCAGCAGTCTCATAAATATTACTGAGCAAACTAAAGTAATTACACTGACAGATCCTCACCGCCTACACCCACTGTATTCATGTACGAGCAAATCTGTACTGTGAGGTAACCCTGACAACCACACTCGCCCTGTGAGCAGCACTTTGGCGATAGTGGGAAGAAAAAACTCTCTTTTAACAGGAAGAAACCTCCGACAGAAGCAGCAAATTTAATAACACTTTTCTTTCTGTTTATTCTGCCATGTTGGATTTGAGATTGACTTTACTGGATAATTTTAATATTGTTTCCTTTTGCATCTATTTTATTTGAGTTTTGTTTTTACCTTAAGATATATATTAAGTATTAAGTAAGATAGCCAGGTAAATATATGGTTCAAAAAGCTTCAGACTCCTCAGTTTCCCTGAGATAACTAATAAAAATATATATTTCACCTCATGTGCCAGTTACACTCACAGAAAGCTGGATTTGAACCCAGGACCTTTGTGCCACCATGCTGCTATCATTTTAATGTAACTGTTGTCTTTAATGGAAGGACACACATCGTGTTGTCAGGTGACTGAATGTGACACAAATGAAAGTTTCATTAAAACTCTTCATAAATAGAAACATAATTTCCATCCTTTCCTCTCGAATTCAAAAATACTTTTATTTTCTTCACTGTTTTTGTCTCTTTTTTTGTCTTTTTTAACGTTTGTATCAAAGACTGTTTTTATCATTTATCATGTTAGATGGTGTAAAAAAAACATTAAAAGTTTACCACCAGTGTATGCAAATTGTCTTTTATGTAACTCAGACATTACAAATGACCATAAAGCCTTATATAGGTTAAAATATGACTAAACAGTAAACAAAGCTCAGGTACATGTTGCATGTTTATGCGACAGCTCAATTATAATTTGTACAGTCGGTGTGTAAATATTCAGACTTCTAAAACAGTTAATTTGTGATTTGTTTTTTCATTTAATGCCTTTTTGACTGGATTTAACTGGATTTTACACATTTTCTGCATCAGAAAACCAAAACATTCAGTCTTTTCTTCCATCACTGGTAAATATTTACATTTTTCATTAACTGTATAGTTACTTTGTACGCATACACACAGACAGGTTACATTAATAATAAAAGATTTTGATGTAAAATAATAATGTGTGTGTGTTTACAATCAAAAACAGGACTGTCCTCGGAGACCAGCCTCTGTCAGTGCGCCCCAGGGCAGCGGTGGCTACAACGTAGCTGCCATAAAGTGCTTTGGTGTCCTTAGGGACTACAAATACAGACCATTTACCATGACGTCCTCTGCAGTGGACAAAAAAACTTATCGATACTTTTTCCTGCAGTTCTCCGGAGGCTGTATCCTCCTCATCAAAGTGACAGTGCATGTTTAGGCTCCAGGTTACAGCACCAGAACGTCTCCGCCCGT